GACAGGACTCACTTTCTAGACCAGGCTGGTCTTGAACTCACAGAGATCTTCCTGTCTCTGCCTCCCCAAGTACTGGGATAAAAGGAATGTGCCACCATGACCAGCTGGTGATATCTTTGTTTAACCATTAGAAATGGATTTCTCTGCATGTTAAACATTATCTCAGGTTTAACAGTGGTTTTGGTTATATTGCATTTAGTGCTCCTTCTTTTAAATTTAAAATTCATATGTATTACATTGTTTTATAAGAAATATATTCATGCTTTTAGGTAATCCTGTTCTTGTAGTTGCAACATATATTATTGATATATAGAGTTGTCAGAGTTATGGTATCCACATAATATTCAGAGATTATTCTTTGGTAATTAAAATGTATGCTATTTTCTTCACTTAAACTGCTTTTCTTTCATATTTATATGTGGCAAAGTTTTAAACCCTGGTAATCATTTGCTTGTGATAAAAACATAAATAACAGAAAAATATAAAATAAAAACATAAACTTTGTGCTTAGAAAATTCATGTATGTTTTGATGCTTAGGAGTTTATTATATGGTTCATGCTTTTATAATAGACCTCATTTATGTGTATGCAAAAGGGAATTTTTAAATTAAATCCAATTTTCTGAGTTTAGAATTCTGCATGGTAAGATCAGTTTCTGTGGCTGCCTTGATTTCCATTTGACAAATGAGAAATGAATCAGCTCCCAGGCACACGTCTTACTCTGACACAGTACCACAGATCCTGTTGAGGACCAGAGGCTCTGTGAAAAGATAATTTGCTCCCCACAGACATTGCAGTAGCAAGAACAGGAGGACAGTGCTTGCTCTCTGAAATGCAGCTCCCACAAGAGGATCACAGGTAGATTAGTCGCTGCCTGGCAGTAGAACCATTATAATCATCCTGATATTAGGGAAGTCTAACCTCATGCAAGGGATGCTGGACAAACCAGCTCATCCTTTAGTTACATGGGAGATGTATCATCCTGACTTGGGAGTGTTTTGGATATGTGCTCCAGGGAGACTGACATCGCTGTTCTTACTTTCTAAACCTTAAGTGAGTCTGCAGGAGGAAAGGCATAGATGTCGTGGGAGGTGGTCCACTGTGCAAACACCATGGGAGAGTCTGGAGGAAATGAGCTGCTGAAGCTCTAAATCATTTGGATATATTAGAGGTCCATGGACACTTTACTGACTCTTTGTAATATCTAGAAGATGTGATTTCTTGGTAAAACTTGATACACAATGGGAGTTCTGATTATGTCTGTGCTGACAGGGAAGGCTTGGTTTTGTTTCTTTAAGATCAAAGTTATCTTTGAACTTAGAATTCAGTACAAATTTTAAATGGAAATAAAATCTTAAGAGTTATCAGTGAACTAATCTAGTGCTAGGTCTTGAAACCTTCCATCTCTACCCTCTTCCGTCTCTACCTCAGTACATACTGTAGTTTATAACAGTAAACGTATGCTATTGAGTTGGGTATCTTGAGGCTACAGTTCCATGTGTAGGGAACAGCATTTTAATTTAGAAACATAGATTGTGAAGTGTGACACATACAATGCAGGAATGAACCATAAGATGTGAGTTTCTAGGACCTTATTACAGCTAGATTTTATAAAAGAATCCTATACAATAATTTTTCATGTTTATAATAGTTCATGTTTATAAGTAAAGAAAAACTCAGAGCAAGAGAATGCCAAGTTGTAAGAAATATTTTATTGGGAAAGTTTTTTTTTTTTAATAGTTGATATACTGTCCCTCTAGAGCTGGTCTAAGGTTACCACTGTTTGTTTGTTGAGGCAGAGTCTCACTGTGATGGCAAGGTTGGTATGGGGTTTACTCAGATCCACAACATCTATGCCTGAGTCCTGGGATCAAAGGTGTGTGCCAGCACACCCAGGTGAAGTACCTCTTAGAAGACAGTTTTTCTGGATCTTCTCTGTGGTTCTATTGATTGATCATTCTACTTCTATGCCAATACCATGCAGTTTTTATTACTATTGCTCTGTAATACAGCTTGAAGTCAGAGCTGGGGATACCTCCAGATGATCTGTTGTTGTACAGGACTATTTTAGCAATTCTGGGTTTTTTGTTTTTCCATATGAAGTTGAGAATTGTTCTTTCAAGATTTGTGTTGGTATTTTGATGGGAGTTGCATTGAATCTGTAGATGCTTTTGGCAGGATGGCCATTTTCACTATGTTAATCCTACTGATCTATGAAGATGGGAGATCTTTCCATCTTCTCTCTTCTTCAATTTCTTTCTACAGAGACATGAAGTGTATTTCAAACAGGTCTTTCACTTGCTTGATTAGAGTCACACCAAGATACTTTATGTTATTAGTGGCTATTGTGGAGGGTGTAGTTTCCCTAATTTCTTTCTCAGCCCTTTGTATTTCGTATATAGGAGGACTGCTAATTTTTTTTTTCAGTTAATTTTGTATCCAGCCACTTTGCTGAAGGTGTTTATCAGCTGAAGGAGTTTATCAGCTGAAGGAGTTCTCTGGTTGAGTTTTTGGGGTCCCTCATCTATACTATCATACAATCAGTACATAGTGCTACTTTGACTTCTTCCTTTCCAATCTGTGTCCCTTTGCTCTCCTTTGGTTGTCTTATTGCTCTAGCTAGGACTTCAAGTACTATGTTGAATAGATACGGAGAGAGTGGACACCCTTGAATATGGATTCTTGACTTTTGACAAAGAAGCCAAAACCATACAGTGGAAAAAAAGACAGCATTTTCCACAAATGGTGCTTGTCTAACTGGATATCTACATGTAGAAAAATATGCGAATAGATCATATTTATCACTTTGCACAAAACTAAAGTCCAAGTGGATCAAAGACCTCAACATGAAACCAGACACTAAACTAAAAAGTGGGGAAGAGCCTTGATCTCATTGGCACAGCAGACAATCTCGTGAACATAACACCAACAGCACAAGCTCTAAGATCAAAAATCAATAAATGGGACCTCATGAAACTGAAAAGCTTCTGTAAAGCAAAGGACACTCTCAACAGAACAAATCAACAGCCTACAGACTGGGAAAGAGTCTTCACCAACCCTATATCTGACACAAGACTAATATCCAGAATATATAAAGAACTCAAGAAGTTAAACAGCAACAAATCAAGTAATCCAATTAAAAAATGGGGTACAGAGCTAAAAGGAGAATTCTCAGTAGAGGAATATCAAATGGCAGAGAAACACTTAAAGAAATGCTGAACATGCTTAGTCATCAGGGAAATGAAAATCAAAATGACCCTGAGATTTTACCTTACACCCATCAGAATGGCTAAGATTAAAAACTCAAGTGAAAATACCTGCTGGTGAGGATATAAAGAAAGGGGAACCCTCCTCCATTGCTGATGGGAATGCAAACTTGTACAACCACTTTGGAAATCAATCTGGCACTTTCTCAGAAAATTATGAATAGCGCTTCCTCAAGATCCAGCTATAGCACTCCTAGGCATATATCCAAAATATGCTCAAGTATACAACAAGGACATTTGCTCAACCATGTTCGTCGCAGCTTTATTTGTAATAGCCAGAAGCTGGAAACAACCCAGATATCCCTCAACAGAGGAATGGATGCAGAAATTGTGGTACATTTGCACAATGGAATACTACTCAGCAATTAAAAACAAGAAAATCATGAAATTTGCAGGCAAATGGTGGGAACAAGAAAAGATCATGATGAGTGAAGCAGAAAGGCATACATGATATACACCCACTTAAAAGTGGATATTAGCCATATAATATAGGATTAATATGCTAAAATCTGTACACTTGAAGAAGCTAAGAAACTAAGCAAGAAGGAGGACCCTAGGTAAGATGCTCAATCTTCATTCAGAAAGGCAAATGGGATGGACCTCAGAAGAGGGAATAAAAAGGGAACAGGACAGGAGCCTACTACAGAGGGCCTATGACAGACTCTCCCCAGCAGGGTATCTAAGCAGATGCTGGGACACATAGCCAAATTTTAGGCAGAGTTCAGGGAGTCTTATGAAAGAAGGGGGAGATAGAAAGACCTAGAAGTGACAGGAGCTCCACAATGAGAGCAACAGAACCAAAAATTCTGGGCCCAGGGGTCTTTTCGGAGACTGATTCTCCAACCAAGGACCATTCATGGAGATAATCTAGAACCCCTGCACAGATGTAGCCCATGGCAGCTCAGTCTTCAAGTGGGTTTCTTAGTAATGGGAACAGGGACTATCTCTGAGCTGAACTCAGTGGCTGGCTCTTTGATCACCCCTCCCTGAGGGGGGAACAGCCTTGCCAGGCCACAGAGGAAGACAATGCAACCATTCCTTATGAGACCTGATAGGCTAGGGTGAGATAGAAGGGGAGGAGGACCTCTCCTATCAGTGGACTGGGGGAGGGGAATGGGAGGAGATGAGGGAGGGTGAGATTGGGAAGGAATGAGGGAGGTAGCCACATGTCAGGAACAAAGTGAATAAACTGTAATTAATAAAAAAAATTATAAAAAGAAGGCAGGATTTTTTCCAATGTCTTTGTTCCTAGTTGTTACTGCCCAAGTGCAGTTCCGGTTTCCCTTTAATAGACATCACTGTAATAATTTCTTATTGTTTTCCTCACTTTTAGTCATTTCAGGTAGAATGAAACCTACTGTTTAACTGTGGTGTTTAACAGGCCCTACAGTCCCCCCACCACAGCCTGCTCAGCCATTCTCTCTGGCCCCTGAACTTCAATCCATTGTAATAAATTCTTCATAAAACATAAATCGGGCTCCTTGCCGACTGTTTTCTTGGACCCCAAAATTGTTTGCCTATGTCTTTGTATTTCAAAATAATGTTCATGGATTAGTTCCAGTGTTGTTCTTGTGGTGGTGGTGGTAAGCTTCAGCGTGGATTTATTACAGGCTGCAAGGCTCCACGCCTTTGGAGCTGATCAGCTGGCTTGTCATAACGCCTCTTATGGCCATGTTGGTCTATATGTCTAGATTGCTCGGTGGCTAATGTCTTCTGGTGTGGCTTTTCTCCTAGTGTGTTACAGTCATGTCCGCAGTCGTGGGTCACGGGGGCAGAGACATTCGGAACTTCATCACAGGGCAATGCTACAGTTTCATCTGTGTGAATGTAAGTAGCAAACAGACCTGTTTGGAAGCATTTGAGACCCAAGCATACAATGTCAGAGAGAATGGGCCTCTGGACCCCTACATGTGCAACAGAAGGTTTTGAGAGATTAGTTGTGCTATTTACTATGTGCCTTAAAATTGTGGTTTTTACCATTTCACATAGGAAAGCATTATTTTCTGAACCCAAATCGTAGATTGAGATGCAAGTATTACTTCCATAGACAGTATTTTTAATTTTCCATATATAAAGTAGATAACATGAAATAAGTTCAGCCCAGGATATCGCTGAAATCTTAATATGTATAAATTATGTGCATCTTTAAAGTAGCTTAATAGTTAATTCTGATAAATACATTGAGTATCATGTAAAGTTCATCTCCCCATGTGTCAGCTTCTATTCTGTAATTTCTTCTGCTCACTTTCTCTTATTTTCCTGTCCTTGAGGTTGTGTCTTCTGATTTTCATGAAATGCAGAAGCTACTGAGCACGCTTGAAGAGAGCAGCCTTCCCCTTTTGTATCCTGTAGTTGTTATTTCGGTAAGTGAATAAATGTAGTTTTTCTCTCACTGAACCTCTGCTTCTTCTTGATAACCTAATGATTCGATCTGGAAAAGATTGGATTTAATTGAGAGTGTCCTGCAGAAGACTTCAGGGTTCATAGACCAACTTTTCCACTGACTTTTACCTTTGTAGCTGTGGTCATGTGGCTCTATGATATTGGAAAAATAGATGAATCCACTAGCCATCAATTTCTTTATCCTCATCAGCACAGCAAAATACATAGTCATGTTAACCAGTTGTTAAGCTAATGTGTAAGGTCTTAGGGTGTTCTGTGAACAGAGCAGAAGCAGCAGCTTCTCTGTGCCATTAAGTATAGGTAGAATGAGTAAGTGGCTAAAGAAAAGCAGCCTGGACTGGTCACACCACACCTCACACACACTACACATTCATATACAAATAAAGATGTGTTTATTTGTATATTTGTTTTGTAAAACATACACATACTTAATTATTTAATTAATTAAGCTAAATTGTAAAAATACTTGGGTCAAGTGTCTCTGCTTAGTTACCTTCAGTCTCCTTTTCCTGTAAGTATTTGACTTAAATAGCATGGCAGATTATGACAGCACAGATGACAACCTTCTAAATTTTCAGATATCAGTCAAAAATTTCACAAGTGTCTGAAAGAGAATGAAATAATTACAATTTTACATGCTTTTGGCTGACTCACCTCAGGTGGCCTCAAATGGAATTAGATAGCTGTTACACACTCCTTAGCCAGCACTGAACCGTCCTTGTAAGCCTTTACACTTTGGCCAGGAAGGGGCGAACTAGACCTGGGTGATCGCAGCACGTGGAGATGAGGCAATCCAGGTTGCTCCTGCCAGCACGGGGATGGTGACTGGGGCACGGGCTCCAGCAAACCTTTTTACATTTCCTGTCTATTGAAGCCCATTTGTCCAAAGTAAAAATATGTATTTCACTATAACTTATAACTTTAGAACATATTTGTGATGAATAAAGAATGCTTGTATATAAAAATGGCCATGTGCCTTTTTGTCTAGTCTCAGAATTTACAGTCATTTAAATAAAGAAAGCCTCATTAAAAATCAAAGCAAAAGCATATTTTTGGATTGATTCTTCAGAATTTTAAGTTAGAAGGAAACAAAGTGGACAGAAAGGTTTCAGAGACCTCTAATACCATATCATTTCAGCAATAAAATATATACGTTTATATACTTATGTTTATATTATAAACTCCTAAACTACATATATATATATTATCCTTTAACCTTTAAAATATAACCTATCTAGACTTAAAGTCATGATATTGAATTTTACAATAATGTTAGATCTATACTTCTCCTAACTTGGAGGATAATTAGCATGTATATGAGCGTAGATTCCTATGCCCATGTAGGTTAAAGGATAACTTGTGCAAGTTAACTTTCTTCTCCACTATGTCCTGGGATTTGAACTCCTGTCTTCATGCTTGGCACCTTTATCCACTGAGCCATTGCATCGGTCCTGGGTTGTTTTAAGGGGTAATTGTTTGTACTGGGATTAGTAAATATGAGGCTCCTGTTTTCTCATATTGTCAAGTAGATACAGAAAAATCCTGGTCATCAAAAAGGACAATCAGCTTGAGCTGACAGTATTTAGGAAGTTATGCACTGAAAGGAACAAAGAATATGTTCTTGAGTTCTTTGTATAGTGGGTTGTATTTTAATTTAGATTTGGCACATCTTTATTATGTAATTAATTAAATTCAGAGGAATTAGGATATTTTTAATGCTCGAGATTTTATTATTTAGGATAATCTGGCATGGATAAGCAGATTCTACTTTAAGATCCAGCTGAAGCAGGGCACAAAGTTTCCACATAAGGACAAGAGGAAAAATGAAGTATTTTGGAAAGAACTAAGAAACTTAATAAAATAAATTTGTTATTTTCTTTTAAAAAGCTTGTTTTCTTCCTAACTTTTTATGTAATCATGTGGATATTGTGTAACAGTATATTATGACAGGTTTCATTTCAAGTAGTCCTTTTTCTAAAACATTTTGGGTAAGTTTAGTTTTCTAAAAATCCTTTATTAAATCCTTGATTTCAAAATACTGTTCTGGGGCATCTATTTGCTCATCATCTTTCTTTTTCCTTTATTTGTTTTTATATTGGCTTACATTGGCAAATTCAAATGTATAATAACATTTAGTTTTATTTATGGAATAAGCTTGCATTAGATTCCTATATTTTTGTTAACTATTTGAGAACTTCATATGATGTATTTTTTTATGTCCTTGAGAGCTTTATTGAAATTAATTTTTTTCTTTTTTTTCTTTATTAATTACACTTTATTCACTTTGTATCCCCCCTGTGGTTCCCTCCCTCCTCTCTTCCCAATCCCTCCCTTCCTCCACTCTCTGCATGCATGCCCCTCCCCAAGTCCACTGATAGGGGAGGCCTTCTTTTCCTTTCTTCTGATCCTGGTCAATTAGGTCTCATCAGGAGTGGCTGCATTGTCTTCCTCTGTGGCCTGGTAATGCTGCTTCCCCCTCAGGGGGAGGTGATCAAAGAGCAGGCCAATCAGTTCATGTCAGAGACAGTCCTTGTTCCTATTACAATGGAACCCACTTGGATACTGAACTGCCATGGGCTACATCTGTGCAGGGGTCCTAGGTTATCTCCATGCACAGTCCTTGGTTGGAATAGCAGTCTCAGGAATGACCCCTGTGCTCAGATTTTTTTGGTTCTGTTGCTCTCCTTGTGGAGTTCCTGTCCTCCAGATCTTACTGTTTCCTACTTCTTTCCTAAGATTCCCTGCACTCTGCCCAAAGGTTGCCCATAAGTCTCAGCATCTGCATTGATAGTCTGCAGGGCAGAGCCTTTCAGAGGTCCTCTGTGTCAGGCTCCTGACTTGTTCCCTCTTTTCTTCTTCTTCTGATGTCCAGCCTCTTTGCCTTTCTGGATAGGGATTGAGTTCAACATTCTTAGTCATCAGGGAAATGCAAATCAAAACGACCCTAAGATTTCACCTTACACCCATCAAAATGGCTAAGATGAAAAACTCAAGTGACAACACATGCTGGAGAGGTTGTGGAGGAAGGGGAACCCTCCTCCACTCCTGGTGGGAATGTAAACTTGTACAACCACTCTGGAAATCAATCTGGCACTTCCTCAGACAACTAGGAATAACATTTCCTCAAGATTCAGCTATACCACTAGGCATATACCCAAAAGAGGCTCAAGTACACAATAAGGACATCTGCTCAACCATGTTTGTAGCAGCTTTATTTGTTATAGCCAGAACCTGGAAGCAACCCAGATGCCCCTCAGTGGAGGAATGGATACAGAAATTGTGGTACATCTACACAATGGAATATTACTCAGCAATAAAAAACAAGGAAATCATGAAATTTGCAGGTAAATGGTGGGATCTGGAAAAGATCATCCTGAGTGAGCTATCCCAGAAGCAGAAAGACGCACACGGTATATACTCACTCATATAGACATATAATATAGGATAAACCTACTAAAATCTGTACACCTAAAGAAACTAATCAAGAGGGAGGACCCTTGCTAAAATACTCAATTCCTATCCATATGATGCATTTTTGAATATACTCATCCTCTTAACTCCTCTTCTGATCACCCTTAGATTGTCCCATCCCTTTCTACCTTTTTTTTTCTACCCCCTTTTTCCTCTTTTCCCATTGGGTCCAATTTGTGTTGTATAACTCATCTTGTGGCCAGCTCTGCTGTGTGGTCATATTACATGTGTCAAATCGTGAAAGCACCTGAGTCTCCCTTGTGCAGCCACTATCAAAAGCTGGTGGCGTTTCAGCCAGTGGAATCAAGTGGCCCCACCCCCACCCCGCTGTGGTGAGAGGAAGCATTTCTTTTATCAAGACAAAAATCTTCATTTTGATATATTTAACTACATACTTTTATAATAAGCCAAAGGTTGTTGTTAATATTGGCTAGTTGATTAAAACATGCTTGTATTAAAAGTAGAAAAACATTATTGGGTAGAATAGTTCACAGTGCCATGTTTTCATGAATTTGTGTGCATTTTGAGTGACATTTGTTGTTTCATAAATCTTTTAGTTATGACCTTTAGGAACACATTGTCAGATAATGAGCATCTCCCTCACCAAGAGAATATTCCCTATCTGAAAGAAAATATTCTGTTACAGATTAGTACATGTAAAAGGTTTCAAAATTTAGGTAGTTTATGAAATTCAGCAAGAAAAGTCTTAGATACATGTTAAATTAGTTATTTCTCAAAATTATGTAAGAATATATTTGAATTCTTTCAGTTATTTCTGTTTTTTTTGTGTTGGTGTATATGCATTGTACATAATATTGTTTCATAAGATATTTTCATATAACATAATTAGCTTTCATCCTACTCCTTCTCTTTGCCCCTACTCCTCCCAACTCCTATTAGTTTCTTTGCTCTCTCAGGCAGTCGTGCCTCTCCTCTCATTTCTTAAATATTTGTATGATTTTGTGCATCTGTACAAAATCTAGGATCCAAAGTAGAGAAAAAAAGCATCATATTTGTCTTTTTGAGACTGATTTAATTCTTTGGGGAATATGTTTGAGAAAGTTCTTGTGTCTATATTTTGAAGCATTTTCCTCTAACAACTTCACATCTTATATTAAGATCTTTGTTGGATTTGGAGTGGGGCTCTATTCCAGGCAAGAGGAGGGGATCTCAGTATATTCTTGTAAGTATGCATTTCCATATATCCAAAACCATTATTCACATTTTTTTTCCTTTCTCAACAATTGGGTGTCTTTGGCTGATGGACTGTGTGGACTTCTTTTTGGGCTCTTTGTTTGACTCCGTTCATCTGTGTGTCTGTGTTTGTCCAAGTGCTGTGCTGCTTTAAAAATTACTATGACACTATATATCTCGGAGCCAGGAGTGGAAGTTATCTACAGCTTTACTTGTTCTGCTTAGAAATGCTTTAGCTATTCAGTCTTTTATGCTTTCTCATGAATTTTACTTTTTCTTCCAGTTTTACAAAGAA